AAAACTTTCAGAAGTTTTCTATATATAATTTTTCATTCCTCAATTTTTAAAAGCCTGAAAAATATGCAATTAGATATGTTGTTCTGTAATTCTGGTGCTAAATTGTATACATTCTCACAAGTTTGTAGAAATACATAAACTGGGGAATTACTGATTAAAAATTAGTGTTAACTACATGTGTGAAGACAGCATATGTTTATATCAACATTCATATTTATGCTTTTATATACAGTATATAACACTTTCAAGTCAGGAACATGGCATTTCAGTGTGATAGACTTTGCTCCAAAAGGAAATGGAATTAAGAAAATGCAGTTTAATTAGATTGCGTATAATAAGTATGATTAATAATCACATTTAAGCATTTTCATCTGTTACAGTAAAAAATGCAATTCAAATTATATACTCCTAGATTAAAGGATAAACATTTTTTAAAATAAAAGCCAGTTTACTCTAGTGGTTAAGGCACCAGGTTAGAAAGTGGAAGACTATGAGTTCTAGTCCCACTTCGGGCATAAAATCAGCTGGGTGACCTTGGGCCAATCACTCTCAGCCCAACTCCCCTCACAGGGCTGTTGGGTGGAAAATAGGAGGAGGAAGATGTATTGGATGTGTTCACCATCTTGAGTTTTTGTAAAAATAACACTAAAAGAGATACAAATTACCTAAATAAAAGGCCATAGTTATAGAATGCAGATCATTTCAATCCATAACACAAGAACAGGAATCTAATTGGCTAAAGACCAATTTGCAATCTCAGAAATCTCAATATTCCATGCTTTCTTTTACATGAATAAAAACAGCTGTTGGGGGGAGGACACATAATTGCTCCCTTCCGTTGCTGCTAACCCAGAGGGTTTTTTTTCTGTGCAAGATGATAAGAGCAAAGAGCTGAACTAATGGTGGAATTGAGGAAGTGATTTCCATGCATTGTATGGACCAGATGCCCCCATAAACAGGTCTCCCACTTATGTTGTAACAGAATCCTAACTTGTAGTATTGAAACTTGGGAACTCCAGGTTTGGCGTGGAGCTGATAAGAACTTGATCCCTGAATTTGAGACATTTTTACTTTTCCAAAGGATTTTTTTTTGCCTACCAAAATGCAAATTCCCAGTTCAATCAGCCCAAAGGAAGGGCTAAAATTGAGTCTCTCAATTTCTAATTCAGCTCCTTAAACCATTATCCTGACAAGCCCAATATTTCAACCAACAAACGCTCTGTCTTGTACATTGGCAAAAAAAATCAAACATAAAATACAAATTAGATGGACATGACCTTGTAGATGACCCTCACTCTGTCAAGAATCTTGGAGTACTCATTTCTAAAGATCTAAGTGTCCGAGCCCACTGTAACAACATTGCCAAAAAGGCATTAAGAGTTGTTAACCTAATTTTGCATAGCTTCTTCTCTGGTAATGTTGTACTACTAACTAGAGCATACAAAACATTTGCTAGATCAATTCTGGAATACAGCTCATCTGTCTGGAACCCGCACTGCATATTGGACATAAATACAATTGAGAGAGTCCAGAGATATTTTACGGGAAGAGTCCTCCATTTCTCTAACCACAATAAAATACCTTATGCCACCAGACTCCAAATTTTGGGCTTAGACAACTTTTTTTTTTAATTTGATTTATATGCCGCCCTTCTCGAGAGACTCAGGGCGGCTTACAACGCGTTAACCAATAGCCTTCATACTTTTGTATATTTTATACACAGTCAGCTTATTGCCCCCACAATCTGGGTCCTCATTTTATCTACCTTAGAAAGGATGGAAGGCTGAGTCAACCTTGAGCCTGGTGAGATTTGAACTTGCAGTAATTGCAGGCAGCTGATGTTAATAACAGTGCTTTAGTCTGCTGCACTACCAGGGCTCTAGAACTAAAGCCAACTATGCTTTATGTACTAAGCATAGTACATAAAATTATCTGCCACAATGTCCTTCCTGTCAATGACTACTTCAGCTTCAACCACAACAATACACGAGCAAATAATAGATACAAACTCAAGGTAAACCGTTCCAAACTCGATTGCAGAAAATATGACTTCAGTAACAGGGTGGTCAATGCCTGGAATGCACTACCTGACTCTAGTTTCTTCCCCAAACCCCCAAAACTTTAACCTTAAACTATCTACTGTTGACCTCACCCCATTCCTAAGAGGTCAGTAAGTGGCATGCATAAGTGCACCAGCGTGCCTACCGTCCCTGTCCTAATATTCCTTTTTACTTACTCTTTTCGTGTATTCAAATTATGTTTATACTTTTACCTATTATCTTACATATGCTTAACAAATAAACTTATGATTATGATTTCCCTTGGTCATACCGGTATAACACTATTATCTTTTCCCATAATCAATACTGCCTAAAGTAATCATCAACTGTAATCATCAACCTTTCCCAGAAATGCTTCAGGTTACTCATTATCCTGAAGATAAGGTCCTGTTCTTCATGTAATTAGAGATTCCAAATCCCAAATGTTGGGAGGTGGGATCATGTTGCTTCCCTTCTGGTCAATTGCCAAGCTTTAGTTCAGACAATTCTCTCAATTATTGTACTCACCACCTACCTTTGTACTACAACCACGACAAGGAAAACTGGGATGGTGATTGCTCAGCAAGGCATCCATATGGGTGGCTCTCTTAACAACCACAACGATGAATTCCAGAATTCCAGGCTCAGTTGTGGTCCTAAGTCAAAAACTAGTTGTCCTTTGTCTTTTTTTGTTTTTTAACTTCCTATTTTCTTTTAGTTCGCATTAGATTTTACTATTACAAAATTTTAATAAAATTACACATATTTTAAAACTTCAATTTCTGCAAATCCCTTTTGTCTTACAGCATCTGCAGTGATTTGAATTTAGGAGTCCTGTGGATTTTTTTTTACTGCAGTTATGATAAGTCTAGTGGAGTGTCTTGAGTGTCTGCCAATGTTAACTCACAAAGGCTTTCTTTTGTTACTTACCTGCACTGCAGTAGTTTCTCAGCTTTTTCCTAACTCTCAGCATGCTAGTGTTATCTGGAGATAGAAGAAAGACAATAACTTTAAATGATTTTATTGGAAAAGAGCTCACATATTACACCAAGAATGCATATAAAATGATTTTACTCAGAAAGAACAAACATATTACACCAAGAACACATAAAACAGTATGTGCCAAAAGAGCAAAGAAAAGCACAAGAAAAAGTGAACCTATTTTGAAGGTTTTGATCATATTGTATGATCAAAAGACCAAGCTATGAGTGAACTGAATTTAAACTCTGTAGCAACTCCCCCAACGTGTCTTTAATTCAACCAGAATTTAATCCCATTTTCTGTTTATACGACTCATCGAATCGCATATTAGCCACATATGAAGTTACAAAATGGTATTTAAGTTTAAATACTTAAATTGTGTCATAATGCAGCCAACGTCCCACTTTTTGTAGAGAGCCGAGAAGATTAAACTGCTAAAAAATGCACAGTATCATTTGCGGGGAGGACTTCAGAGGAGCCCCCTTTCCACTCAGCTCTCCTCCCCCCTGGAAATGCAGAGGTAACCATAGCTGGGACTGTGCAAGAATATATAAAAATGAGATCCAGACAAGCTGTGAGGATAGAAGAAATATTTATTCCTAAAAGCAAAACAGTTTGCTTTTAGGGGAAGGCTGCAAAGAAATGGGGTACAACACAGCGGTGAAATTCAAATTTTTTATACTACCGGTTCATATGCGCTGTCTCCGACGTATTCTTGGCATCACCTGGCAGGACAAAGTTCCAAATAGCGCAATCTTGGAACGTGCTAGAATTTCTAGCATGTATACACTATTGAAACAGTGACGTTTACGCTGGCATGTCGTGAGAATGGCTGATGGTCAGATTCCGAAAGATCTCCTGTATGGAGAATTAGCGCAGGGAAAGCGCTTCAGAAGGAGACCACAGCTGTGATATAAGGATATCTGCAAGAGGGACCTAAAGGCCCTGGGAATGGACATTAACAACTGGGACCTCCGATCGTTCGGCTTGGAGGCTAAAGACGCAGTATGGCCTTCTCCAATTCAAAGAGACACTTGTTCGGCAGGCTGAGGCAAAGAGACCGTCCTGGAACCAGCGAAATCTGGGGGCTGGGCAGGGGACAGAATGTATCTGCCCTCAGTGTGGAAAGGATTGCCACTCTAGAATTGGCCTTTTTAGTCACACCAGATGCTGTTTTAGGACCTCTTCCCAGAGCACGATACCATAGTCTCTTGAGACTGAAGGATGCCAATGTAATGTGGGCGTGGCTTGGTGGGTGTTGTGTAGCTTGGTGGGCGTGGCAGGGGAAGGATACTGCAAAATCCCCATTCCCTCCCCACTCTGGGCCCAGCCAGAGGTGGTATTTGTCGTTTCTCCGAACTGCTCAAAATTTCCGTTACTGATTCTCAGACCCTGCTCGATTTCACCCCTGGCACAACAACAGATTTTTATAAGAGGGAGCCTGTCCGGGGTGAAGTGCGTATATGCCGATTCTAGGGGGGAACTTATTTGAGGAAGATTATTAATTTTAGTTGATTAAGTTTCAGCTTGACTGTCAATTATCTAGTGGAGACACCGATTCTCAGAACTATCACATCTATCAGATTCTATTAATGTTTTAAGGGAAGATGGAAAGAGTATCGGATATAAAACTTCTCATAATGCCGGGTGGGGGGGAAGAGGGGCGGGGAAATACCCCTTCCTTGCTTGTTCTTTCGGGTTAACTCTCCCAAGCCCAAACCTTTTTTTTTCCTGCTTTATGTGGGGCGCCAAGGGGGCAGGAGGGTTACACGAGGGAGCCACCATCATGCCCCTTCCTTGTCCTGTGGAGGAAAAATGGTGGGCTGGTGGCAACAAGCGCGTCCGTAAGAATCCCACGCGGCTCCTGCTTCGAGTTGGCTGGAAATAACCAAAACTGCAACGCGATACAAAAACCCGGCGAGCCCAACATCTCTCCCCGCCCCCCCCGCCCCCCCGTTTAAGCCTTCAGCTCCAGGTCAGCCGGGGTCGCGCGTGAAATAGACCGGGGCGCTCGTGCTTTGGCTGGAACGATGCGCCCAGGGACAAGAAGAGCCCAGGAACACGCAAGCGGCGCGGGAAAAGCCCTTGCCCGTTTCACGTAAACCGGAGGACGAGGCGGACGCTCAGTCATTTGTGCTCCGGACCCTCTTTGACCGTCACCTGCTCTTGCAAGTGCGCGAGGGGAGGGGCGACTCCGGGTCGGGAGCGGCTCTTCGGCGTCCAGCTTGGGGCGCCCGCTCTCGTCACTGCAGCTGCTGACCGGGCAAGCGCCGTGCAGCGGGCAGACGCGCCAGGCGACGACGGCTGCACGGCTTGCTATGGCCCAGGCCAAGGTCGGCAACGCCAAAAACACCGGAGGAGGAGGAGGAGGAGGCGGCGAGGCAACCCAGCAAGCGGGCGCGGGTCAGCAGTCCCGAGGTCGCTTCTTCCGCTCCACCTCCATGGCGGACCGCTCCAGCCGCTTGCTTGAGTGTCTGGACCAGCTGGAGCGGAGGTAAGGCTGGACGGGCCGGCCGAGGGGCAGCGCCCTCGGCTCAACGCAGGAGCGTCTGTGTGAGAAAACCGCAGCGGTCGTCTCTCACCTCCCCTTCCTCGCCCTCCCTCCTTCCTTGGGGCGATTTGCTGTGGAGGTTTTGCAAACTGCTTCCTCGCGTGGGGGAGGGGGGGAACCTTTAAAAAGCCTTTAAAAATGCGCCTGTATTAATTGGATTGCTTCGATGCTCCGTATCTCCGTCTGGGCTCTGGACCATTTTGGAGATGATTTTTTTCCCGTTTGATAAATGGAGGAGGAGGAGGAGGAGGAGGAGGCTCCCCGACGTGCCTTTTCTTGCTTTTAGTTGTACTTGTCAGGCCTGGGTTCAGGATGGCGCGAGGTTTTTGAGCTCGGAGAAAATGTTAATGGTCCTAAATACAGTGCTCAAAAAAATAAAGGGAACACAAGCAGAAGACATCCGGGATCTGAATGAATGAAATAGCCTTATTAAATACTTTGTTCGATAGATACAGTAGTTTTGTGTTCCCTTTAGTTGTTTGAACAGTGTATAAACTACTGTATGTAAAGAAGAAAGTATTTAATAAGGCTATTTCATTCATTCAGATCTCGGATGTCTTCTGCTTGTGTTCCCTTTATTTTTTTGAGCAGTAAAGTATTAATCTTCCGGGTGCTTTTGAAATGGGACGAGTGGTGATGGTTTCTCAGCCTCTTTGGACTTTAGCCATGTAGAAATCCTTCCTCCTTTGGAAGGCTGTAGCCTTTCCAAGTAGGGAGGTGGGACGAATTGCCTCCAGAGAATTGCTTTTCTATCATTTATATACATTATTCTGAATGGATGAGGAGAGTTTTGGATCTGTTCAGTTGAAGAAGAAGGAAAAAAAGCAAAGTTCTCCTGCTTAAGAGCTGGTAGAACATATGGGAGTTGAGATTAGAAATGACAGGTTTAATCCTACGCCCTCCCTCCTGCAGACGGAATTAACATTAGATAAGAATTTCTATTTACTACTTCCAAATGTGTGTTCTTATGTCTTTATGCATGTTCGGGTCTCTGAATTAGATCAGAACATAAAACATTTCATATACTGGCTTCCCAGTGTAGCTTTCAGGGATCTGTAGTCACTCATGCTCATTCTGGTGCATTCCACTGTAGGTGTATGGATTAGCAAACCAGCATGCCAGTTTCCTATAATGTTGGGAGACAAGATTGGAGCACAGTACTTTCTATTGTAAACTAATCTCAGGTAGGGGAGATCCAGATCCCATCAAAAATAAAGCCAATCCAACAGTGATTGGCTGAGTTTGCATATTTATAACATTGGGCTACAAACCATGGTTCACTAATCAGTAAGGCTAGTTGTACACAACATCTAAAACCAAACCACATTACAAACCACATTACATAGCATGATATTGCCCCAAATTTTTAATGTCAGGCTCTTTTTCATAATTTCAACAGACTCGTTACTTAAATGACTAAATTCCCATTGTTTAGCATTTAATTACTTCTTTACACTTGCCATAGATATTTGCTTAGTGTTAAAACAAGATAGATATTCTGAAAAATTCACTCTTTGCCAAAAGACATATGTAAAGGAATCAAATAACTATAATTTGGAACACTACCTTTCCTGAATATGATAGTTGAGGCACAAATAAGAAGTTTTAGACATATTGCATTTCTTAATCTAACAAAAGCATTTCAGATTTTTTTAAAAAATTTTTTTTTATTAAACAGTTTTTAAAAGTTTTTAATAGTTTTCCTCTTTGAACATTTCTGCATCAGTATACATCCACTATATATCCATTTTCCCCCTTACATCTATATATCTATACATGTGGTTCCATTATCTTTTATACATATTAACATATTAATATACTAATTTATAAACATATATGTTTTGTCATATTTTCAGATTTCAGATTTTTTAATGAACACCACAAAGATGTTTTGGTGTGCTTGTGATGGTATGAATTAATTTTCACAGGAAAATTAATTTATTACTGCAATTCACACACTTTTTAGGGGGGGAAAAGTGAATAAAAATTGTTTAAATAATTTCATCAAAAGTTTCATACTAATTTTTAACAACTGAAACTTGAATATAAGGTGCTCATTTAGTGTTAAATATTCTGTATTTTACATTTTTTCCCTATATTTTCTGCATTAATTATGTACTGGTAGTAAATCATGTACTTTGTGGCTTTAATTAAATTACATTTAAAGAAGTTATTGATTCATTTTTTATTTTAGTTGAATAGTACATGACTACTCAGAAGTGAGATCCGCTGACTACATAGCTGGAGTCACAATTATGGACTGATATATCCTGTATATCATGCTAAACCTTCATACCTCAATATATGCAAACCAGAACAATGGGGTTTACTTTTAGGCTATAATGCTATACATAGCTAAGATTATCTAGAAGGCTATTATTTGCAGAATTAAATAATACATTTTCTAAATGAATATATCACATTTTTTATGGTTAGGTTCTCAAATTCTAAAAAAAAAAAAAAATTCTCTCCTAGCATTGCTGTGTTACGAATTTTATATATATATGCATCACTCTATAATTTCTGCCTCTCTAGTAAAACATATTTTAAACTATGTCAAATGAATTGAAAATCTTCTGTCATGTTTATTTTGGAATGGCAATTTCACACAAGTAAATTATTGACTATTGAACAAGTGTTTAATGTGCCCTACCATAGCTACAGTGATAATACATCACCTTAATTTTTCTGCATTTGTTCAAGAATGAAGAAAAAATTTTGTTCAGGAAAGTGGTCCAGCTTTGTGAGTGAAGTATAACAGGTGCTATGATAGAAGAGACCTATATATAGTTACAAATGAGGAAGGATTCAGAAGGCCCAGCTGTCATTCCAGAAAGCATATGAGATTTGGCCACCTTTTTTGTTGGCAAGATTGTATTTACTTTTTAGGTTTAGTGAGATTTAATTTTAATTTTACTGAGATTTACTCTTCGCTAGATCTGTGTAGAACTTCAGCTCAGTGGACTACAAAGTGGAGTTTAGGAATTCATATGGTGCTATTCCATTCTTGCTTGATTATACCAATTCAGATATCGGTTCTTCCCCATCCTAGGGTTTGAATCACACAATCCATATGTTTTAGCATTCAAATTGAGGTTTGCATTTTGTATGATTAGGATAACCTGGCTGTAGCAATTCTACAAATTGACAGAAATCATTAGTCAGGTGAGATAATAAATTGATGGCAAGGCTATAGGATTCTGATTGCAGATATATTCCAGAATGTCAAAGAAAACTAGTTTTATCTCTGACATGGCAATTTTCTGCATACAGACACTTCTGTATGAAAGATCATCCAATATTGTGAGTCTGCCTGCTATCTAGTTATGTACATTCTGTACACACAGCTGGGTATTAAAGAAGCTCAGCATCTTTTTCATACACTTAGTTATTTGAACATGTAACTGCTATTTCTAGAATATCTAATTTTAGCATGCTTGGTGGACACAAAGTTGGAAAAAGCTGCTTTCTTTAAAAAACAAAATGAAATTATTTATAGGTTGTTTCAGATATAAAACTCCAACAATGTAAAGTGACGCTCTTCCTTCACTGTAATAGGACCAGAATCTGTTATTTACTTGAGTTTATATGCTACTCAGCTCAACAAAGCTCAATGCTATTTATCAAAGGAAATCCATCCATCTATCTATATCTCCATCTATTCATCCACCTACCCATCCACTCACTTATTTAAACAATTTACAAGCTGAACAATAGCAAAGCAGCAGAACTTTAATGAATAGTCACAAATCCCAAATCTGTAAACGGAAGGTCAAGTTTATCACCAAATTCAAGACAATAAGATAGCCTAATTTCAAGAGGAATGCTAAAGGGAGGGGGAAACAGCGACCAAGAAGGTTCATCTCAATAATTGTGGATGGCCTTCCATAAGAGAAGGGACTCATATGCAGCCCAACCTGCATATGGGAGAGTCGAGGTGGCGCAGTAGTTAGAATGCTATATTGCAGCTACTTCAGCTGACTGCTAGATCAGCAGATTGAAGGTTGACTCAGCCTTCCATCCTTCTGAGGTGGGTAAAATGAGGACCCAGATTGTTGGGGACAATATGCTATTTAGTATACTGTCGATTGTTGTAAGCCGCCCAGAGTCCTCGGAGAGTGGGCGGCATAGAAATATGATTAATAAAATAAATAAATAAAATAAACATTCCTTACCGGAAAGGTAACCAGTATAGCTTTTGGAAAACTTCCTAACATTATCTAAATGTCTGCATTCTGGGTCAGCTAATTATTCTGGGTAACAGTCATCCAATATTGCTGAGCCAGGTAAAAATTCTTGAGATACATCATTATTTCAAAGGATATGGAACAGGTTTAGACTGCTGTCTATTGATGCTCCTTAGTTTACTGTTTTCCTTTTCCTTGTTAAATCGAGAAGGGCTGATTGCAGAAGGGCATATGTGAAAACTAGACTTTTTAGATTTATTTGAAATGATATGTGAGAGATAGACTTTTCTTGATACTTGTTTTTTTTCCTTTAATAATGCTGGAATTCCCTATCCTTTCCTGCCGTTGTGCAAATACAGTTGGGACAAGGGATAAGAAAAAAGATATTTTGCAGTTCTTGCACATAAGACCAAGCCAGAATTTTAATATCTGCCTTCTCATTTTGGCGAATAGGAAATATTGACTTGCTATATAGAAACTCTTCATTGTAGCAAGAATATAATATGTTAATTTAATTTTATAAATAAGTAATAGATGAAAGCGGGTTGGGAAACATGACATAGGTATAAGGATATTTGTAAACTCTCTTTTAAATTGGTAATTTTTTTCTCTTCCCAGAGTTGAAGCTTTGCGTGATGCAGCAGCTTCAATGGAACAAGAAAAAGAAACTCTTCTGGAAATGATCCATAATATACAGAACAGCCAGGATATGAGGAATATTAGTGAAGGTAATACCCCAAACTGCTTTGTGAATGCATATTTGGAGTGTCTGATGAATACACATAAGGGGATTTTTTAGTGTCTTCATAGTAGATAGACTTATATGGGTAGTCCTCGACTTACGATGATAATGGAGCCCAAAATTTCCATTGCTAAGCAAAACATTTAAGTGAGTTGTGCTCCATTTTATGACCTTTTTTCCTCAGATTTTAAGCAAATAAATGCAATTGCTTAATGAGTCATGTGGTTGTTAACTGAATATGGCTTCCCCCATTGACTTTGCTTGTCGGAAGCCAACTGGGAAGGTTAAAAATGGTGATCACATGATCCCAGGACAGGGCAATTGTCATAAATACATGTCAGTTGCCAAGTGCCCAAATTTTGATCACATCACCATGTAGCTGCTGCAACAGTTGTAAGCCTGAAAACTGGTTATAAGTCACTTTTTCATTGTAACTTCAAATAGTCGCTAAATGAATGGTTGTAAGTCGAGGGCTTCCTGTACTAAGTGATAATTTCCTAATATATTACAACTGACTGGATTCAATGACGATAATAAGATGAAACAAATCAAACCATGCTATTTTACTGTGCTCTGTTAATCTAGCCAGTGTTTTTTCTATGGTAAACTGCTAATACTGATCAAGTCAAAATCTCTGTTAAGTATTATCAACCCCATTACAATCGTTGTATTCCATCCTTCCATGGATTGTAGCAAAAATATGACACAGTAATTCTTAATTTACCTTGACTCTTCTGACCTTGCCGGTTAATTGGTGTTATGTAAAACTTTAAAACCAGCATTTTTAATTTCAAAATATAGGTGAAAGAGAAGAACTTAATCTGACTGTCAAGCGCCTTATGGGCCGAACCATCACAGTTGAGGTTTCGGTAGAAACCATACGAAATCCTCAGCAGCAGGAATCCCTGTTGCGGGCTACCCAGATGATTGATGAAATAGTCAATAAACTCTTGGATGATTTGGAAGACTCAAAGAGCCGGTTAATATCACTTTACGGCGCTTGTACATCTGAGACACCATCAGGACCTGTTGATCAAAAATTTCAGTCTGTTGTAATTGGATGTGCCATAGAAGATCAGAAGAAAATTAAGAGACGGGTAGAGACTTTGCTTAGAAATATAGACAACTCTGAAAAGTCCATCATGCTTCTAGAAAACCAAAGAACAACTTCAAGGGAACCATGCAACAATGGAAAAGATTAAAAGCTTTTGATTCCCATTATGAAAAAGTAAATGTTTTCTTAAAATATACAAAAGCAAAGAAATGCTGCCATTTTAAAATATATCATGCATGGTCTTGTTAATACAGATTACATGCCCAGAAACTGAAGGGAGTTTATATACCTCTTGTACAAATCCTGAGGCATTCAGAAACAAAGATGGAAGAAGATAGTTCTGGGAAAAAAACCCCTTACATTCCTCTGAGGGGAAAATATGTCTGCTTCCATTAAAAAAAAAAAACCCACAAACCAACGAACTCTAAAGCGTCTGCATAAAGCACATCCTGTGGCAACTACAAATGTTAGGCACCGTAGAAGCACATAAACACATGAAGGTTCTGTACTTTTTATCCTATGCTTTTGTTCCTTTCAACAGGCTGGCTAGAATCTTCTGCCTTCCATGCCTTCCTGTTCACAGAATACATCTTTAAAGGGCTTGGTACACTGAAATAAGTAACTAATGCCTTATTTGAGAGAATGTAGGCATTTCATATCCAAAGGATAACTTTTTTCATAAATGGTATCCCATTTATTCCTTTTAGTACCATATTGATTTTAGGCCTTAGTATCCAGTTAATCCCTAGAGATAATTTAGCAATATCTGTTTTGTTCTTGGAACAATTAATCTATCATAGACAATTCAATTAGATTGTATTCCGCTTTAGTGAATAAATCTGTTTAAGAAAGATGGTAAGGTGGAAAAAATGCTATAGTAAATGCAAACAAAATTTATATGTACTTCCTTGTTACTGAATATTAAGAAATAAAATAAATCATGCTCCATGCATTAAATTTTAGTATATTTTGAGTATGCAGCTTACATATATATCGATCTCTAAATCCTGTTCAATATGAGAATGCCTTAGCTATGTTTAAAGTGTGCTCCTATTACCTTATCTGCTCAAAAACATAGTGTATTTAACATTTCATACAAATGTCTATATCTATTACGTTTCCTCTTTCAACTTCTCACAGTATCTCAAATCTCCTTGAAAAATTGTACAGGAATGATAAGTGAAAATTGCTCAGATTTTACATCTGTGAAAGATGTTACTTAATAGTTAAAGCTTGGAATATATAATTTCATTCCACATGTGTCATAATGTATAAGCAAGAAAAAGAGCAGTACAGTATTGCCAGAAAAGCATGGTATAGGAAAATGTTCAATCACTCGGCCAAATTGTCCATACAAATCTTAGATATGTGCATGTTGAACTATTAGCTAGGACTCTGCATTGCTTTGGATTTTAAACAGTTTACAGACCTAATTGTGCTGTTGCATTATAAATCTAATAATACAGACACAATTGAGCCCAAAATTTATGTTGCAAAGTGACACATTTGTTGAGTTTTTCCCCATTTTACATTTTTCTTGCTACATTTGTTAAGTGAATTACTGCAGTTGTTAAATTAGTAACACGGTTATTAAGTGAATCTGGTTTCTCCATTGACTTTGCTTATCAGAAGGTTGCCAAAGTTGATCATATGACCCCTGGACACTGCAACCATCATAAATGTGAGTCAGTTGTCAAGCATCCGAATGTAAATCACATGACCATGGGGATGCTGTGTGAAAAATGGTCATAAATAACTTTTTTCAGTGCCATTGTAACTTGGAACAGTCACTAAGCAAGCTGTTGTAAATCGAGGACTACCTGTATTTCCAAAGATTTAAAATACAAATTGAAATCTTTCAAAATATAGTTGGAGATTTTGTAAAATAATGTATTGGGATATGTTGGTTTGTAATTTTGCATTATTTAGTAATACACATTCCAAGAGATAAGTTGGTAATTTTGTTATAGGTTTCTAATTAGAGGACTGGAAACCGAGTGGTGTGAGGGCATGTGAAACAAACAAAAGGTTCCCCCCTGCCCTTCCCAGGGGTTTAAAAATCAATAAATAAAGTCACCTGAGCCATAACACCTTTAGAAGGCCAAGGAATATTGATAAAGCTGAGAAGTGAGCATAGGCTCTGGGTGCCAAGCCAGGATGAGATAACACTAATAAATGTAACTTTCAAAGACAGTTATGTTTGAAAATTAGTGTAGTTTTGCCTTTTCAATAAAAAGTTAATCCACTCCACCACTAATCTCGCTAAATATGGTAGACTGTTAAATCCAATCATGTTCTGTCAATTATCTTGCAGTAGTGATCCTAATTTCCAGTGAGCTATCTATCCTAATTTACATAGAGGTAGTCCTCATTTAGACTGGTACAATTGATGAAATTTTACCACTAATCCCTACATTTATGACCTCTGCAGGTCTGTAAAGCAAAAGAAAGCTGAAGATAAGCACAATGTCAAAGTTCCGACAGATGCCCTAATTAAATCATGAGCCTCAAGCCAAGCTTCAAAAGCTCTGACCCCACATAATTTATGGCCCAGACTTGACCCTGTTTCCCGCCCTCCCCCCAGGGTGTGTCATCAGTCACATTCATCAACAGAGCAATTTTGTGGGTTGTAGAGATCAATCTACAACCTAGAGCCTTGGTAGTACAGGGGTTTAAGGCACCCTGTTATTAAGCTTATTAAGACCAGCTGCCTGCAATTACTGCAGGGTTCGAATCTCGCCAAGGCTCAAGGTTGACTCAGCCTTCCATCCTTTCTAAGGTAGGTGAAATGAGGACCCAGTTTGTGGGGGCAATAAGCTGACTTTGTATAAATATACAAAAGGATGAAGGCTATTGCTGAGCACATTGTAAGCCGCCCTGAGTCTTCGGAGAAGGGCGGCATATAAATCAAATTAAAAAAAAAAAAATATCCGGCTGCTGTGGGTAACCCTGGGAGACAGCCTTGAGAGAGATGTCTGGAATGTGCTTTTGTTTTTGGCTGCTGTGCTGCTTTGCCATTTTCCCAACCCCCTTGCCTATGGCAACTCAAGAGCAGGTCAGGGACGCTTTGTGAGTTGACATACAGTCTCATTTAATAGACCACTTTGTTTTTGTTTTTGTTTTTTTTGCTTTAATTTATATGCCGCCCTTCTCCGGAGACTCAGGGTGGCTTATAATGCGTTAAGCAATAGCCTTCATACTTTTGTATATTTATACAAAGTCAGCTTATTGCTCCCACAATCTGGGTCCTCATTTTACTACCTTTAAAAGGATGGAAGGCTAAGTCAACCTTGAGCCTGGTGAGATTTGAACTTGCAGTAATTGCAAGTTTAACAATTAAGTTCCTGGTATCAACTGTTGTAAATAAGGACTACCTGTAACTCTGTAGAGAAGGGTCGTATCTTTACCTACTTTTAGATTTGCATCTGCTGCCTCAGGTATAACAAACAGTTGTGCTTCAAGAGAATTGTGTGATGATCTCTACTTTAACTTTTAAGGAAATTTGAAGCAATCATACATAAAAAGCACCCTATGAAGAGAGAATGAGGAAATTAGAAATAACCAAGAAAAAATTAATATGGGGTAACATTTTTTAAGTCCCTTAAAAGGCTGTCTGACAATACAAGGTTTAGAATAATGCTTTAAACTTAAAGCAAAAAGCAAAACCTTATTAACATTGGGGACAACTTGTGATCAGTGGTAAGACCTTAACTCTGCTTTACCAGTAGAGTTCAGTAATGGAGCCAATAACAGTTATTTCATTTGGGTTTTGCACTGACCAAGATACAGGATTTGAAAGCTTTAATGGCTCTTTAAAGGAACAAGGCAAAACACACTGAGAAATTTTTTAATTAATTTATCAAATTTCTGAATAAATTCAACCAGAGTTTGTTCATTTGCTATAATGTATTTATTTTAAAGTATCTGGCTAATTCGTGAAATATTTGGAGCAACTAGTCATAAGGTTTAACTATTAATAAAAGGAATATTTTTCCTAAATTAATTTTTCAAAAACAATCTATCACAGTTAAGCAATATTTGAGTATCTAAAAGATATATGTGGCTATTAATTGGGATACAAGGTGGTTAAATGATTCTGGATTTTCAGTATCATACGTATAAGAAGTAACAATTGGAACAGTTTATTTGCTCCTTTGATAATAGGGTGTCTAGCAAATTAAGTCTTGCCTCAGAAATCGGTTTGATAAAGGTCTTCATTTTTTTTCTTCTGTTCAATAGCATCCAATTCTCTCAGACTGCTTTGTATAAATTCCTGCAGTTTTCTTGTCAAGGTTCTTCAAGATGTGGTTTGCCATTGTCTCCTAGGGCTGAGAAAAAATGGTTGGCCCAAAACTAACCTTGCTGGCTTTGAATTCAAGCTAGGATTAGAATTCATGGTCTCCCAGTTTCTAGCTTGACACCTTAAGCCAGTGATAGTTAACTTTTTCGGCACCGAGTGCTGAAACCGGAGCGTGCACATGCCAGAGCGCCAGAACCCGGAAGAGATCAGCCAGCTGGTGTGCATGCACTTGGCGGCTAGCTGCTCTTTCAGGTTCTGTTGTGCGCATGCGTGCCAGACAGCTGGTCTGGCACACATGAGCGCTGGACAACTGCTCTCTTTCAGGTTCCGGTACGCCCATACATGCGCCGGAACCCAGAAGAGAGCAGCTGGCCTGTGTGCATGCATGTGACGGAACCCGGAAAAGCAGCTGGCAACAGCGTGCGTGCCCACAGAGAGGGCTCTGTGCGCCACCTCTGGACCGCGTGCCATAGGTTCACCATCATGGCCTTAAGTGCTACACAAAACCGGCTTCAATATTTTCATTATACATCTTCAAAAGGATTAAAAGGTACTAAACATGGATGATGTTTGTTTGGTACCAGATCAAGTTCTAAAGATTGACTAGTTTTAACAACTTTTCTGCATCACTTCAGTTTTTTAGAATCCTGTTTTTGGCACTCACATATTTCATACATTGTGATCTGATAAATGCAGAATGTTTTGATACCTGTATGGATTTATACAACTCCCTTAACTATAAAAGCATTTTAATGTCTAAATGGGTGCTAATGAGCATCATGTAATACCACAGATTGATATTAGCAAGATATTAGCCGAGGTGGCGCAGTGGTTAGAGTGCAGTACTGCAGACTACTTCAGCTGACTGCTAGCTGCATTTTGGCAGTTCAAATCTCACAGGCTCAAGATTGACTCACCCTTCCATCCTTCTGAGATGGGTAAAATAAGGACCCAGAATATTGGGGGTAATATGCTGACTCTGTAAACTGCTTAGAGAGGGTTGTAAAAGCACTATGAAGTGGTATATAAGTCTAAGTGCTATTGCTATTACTTTAAGAAAATATATGGTAATTTACTTGTTTCTGTCAGTATGCAATGGAGAGCCTCCCATTCCATAAGCCAAAAGTAGTTGCCCAATGTATCCCAACCATCCAATGAGCCCCATCCCAACCTCTACAGTAGTCCTCGATTTAGAGCCATTCGTTTAGTGACATTCAAAGTTACAACGGCACTGAAAAAAAGTGATGACGGTTGCAGCATCTCCATGGTCACATGACCAAAATTCAGACACTTGGCAACTGGTTTATATTTATTATGGTTGCAGTGTCCTGGGGTCATGTGATTATCTTCTGCAACCTTCTGACAAGGAAAATCATTGGGGAAGCCAGATTCACTTAACCATAACTTAACCCAGTGATTCAGTTAACAACTGTAGCAAGAAAGGTCGTAAAATGGAGCAAAACTCACTTAACTGTCTTGTTTAGCAACATTCATTTCGGGCTCAATTGTGGTCATAAGTTGAAGACTACCTGTATTTGAGTTCGTCCCACCCCACCTCTTAATGACAAACTATATTCTGAAGGAGAAAAAAACATTTAGGGTTTGCTATCGCTTTGCTGAGAGCGGAATGGGACAACTTGCCGCAGTCAACTTGCTGCAAGTTGCTGTGGCACAACTTGCCACAGCCAATTTTATGCGAGACAATTTAACAATTCAATTTAATTATTTAAAATAAATAAAAAAATATTTAATTTTTGTCATTTACATTTCATTCTGTCCCTCCTTTCGCATGCTTTCTTTAATGATTCCATTCCACCATGTCTTTGATATTAGTGTAACTCTTGTCCCGCAGCAAGTTATCCTGCAGCAAGGTGGCCATGGGCGAGATGTCCCGTGGACGAGGTGAGTTGGCCGCGGTGAATTATCAGGGGAAAGGCAAAGTCTATTTAAGTTGGATCACTGGAACATGAATGGGTAAGGTCTACATTCCATCTTCACCCATGGTTTGAGGCTGCATATATACTTGGGCATAGTCAAGATGGCAATCATGTATTACAAACCTTGATTTTGCTATTATTAACAACCCAAAAAAGTAAAATCAGAGTCTTATTCACAAATATAAACGTGTAAGGCTATCATTTAATGTAAAAATTTCAATATAAAAATAGCATGCATGCAGAACCTAGTTATTTAAACCAATATTTTTTTTTTATTATCAATGAACAACTTTGAATATGTCTGTGTTCTTGTCCCATAATGCAACACAATATAATCTGGACCCGTATATATATAGAGTCACCTAGTGACTAGCTAGACTTGTTTAAAGGAAGAAATCAGGTCCGATTTTTCAAAATGAAAAGGGTTATTGTTCGTATCCCACCTCATTGCCAACAATGAGAATAGTTACTTAAGCACGAGGAATGGTACATTGTTCAGTACGAAACAGAGGCCAAGTAATCATTGAAAAAAATGTAATTATTTTTAGATTATAATTAAATTAACAGGACATAAGAACCCTGTTTCAAAATACAAGATACAAATTTTTGAACAAGTAAAATCTCTAAGTATAATGTTTTAGTGTTTACAGACATAAAATGTAAAATAATATTCATATAGGAAAAGAATGTAATCAGGCTGGCAGAGTTCCAGCTCTGGTCTTGAATATACGGTAATTATATTCCTGAACTATTAATATTTCAACATTTCTTAGAAAGAGAAATTGGCTGCTGGCAGAAGTTTTGTTACAGAAATACTGTAGGAATAGTTTGTAAACAGAAAACAACATTGTAGAGGCATACTTCATCAGGGAAAAATAAGATTAAAGGTTTCTGAATAATATTGTAACATAAGATTTCATTTTTTTAAATACCCTGAACCTAAATATATTAAACGGAGGTACATTAGCATCACTGGAACAGCAGCGAGATCTGTGCATGTGTACTTGGAGCAAGTCCCATTCATCTGGTGGAATTCAGTATTAGGTAAACAGAGATTAAGACAGGAACTTTACATTCGCACAATGTCATCAAAACAGGCACATCATTTAATACCAGAAAAAGAAAAAGGGCCTTAAATAGGAATGCACATTAGATATAAGATGCACTTTAATCTTTTGATAACAAACCCCTTCGTATTTTTCATGTATGAAGGATGTAAATGAATAGAGGATTTTTTTAAAAAAGGAACTTGCTATATTCTGTTCGGTTGTACCATTTCTCATTGACTTGTTCTGTTATAATTTAGAACATACTGTGTGTCTGATAATAATTGACAAAAATAAAGATGTATAGCAGCATAAACATTACTTTTTGGCACAACACAATAAAAAAAGTTAAGGCCCACAGTATAGAGAAAATTGAAATGTGCCAGTACCTTTAGAAAAAAAAATGTTTGAAGTTGTCAAACAACTTGTTTTGTTGCCAGAACCTTCGACTTAGACCTAATTTGTGTTTAGCTACCTGAATCTTTGAAGATGTTTCTGCAGATACACACTGCAGAAGTTTCATAAGTCATACAATTAATGCACCACCAACATCGCCAAAATTTATACTGGACTGTTTAAAAAACTGTTAATTTTTGCTTCATTACCATGTTTCCCCGAAAATAAGACCCTGTCTTATATTTTTTTGAACCCTGAAAAAGCGTTTGGACTTATTGCCATGTGCTCAAAAGCCCGATTGGGCTTATCAGGAGATGTTTTATTTTGGGGGAAACAGGGTATTAAGGCTCTGCCTCTGAGCCACAGGATCTAACAAGTAGAAAAACTATTTTATGAACGAGATATTTAAGCATTTCAGCTCAAATTTTGTTTAAAATGAAACCTACTGTATATATTAATTCATCATTCCTTTCAACTAGAAAGTTGTCTTACTGAATGTCAAATGAATGCATGGTCAATGGTATTATTTCTGACCCACTTGGGATCTCACTATTTGCCATTACGAGTCATTCATTTAAACAGCAGTATTCCCTATCGGTGTAGGTCCATTGTGTGCAACTCTGCTAAAGCACTGATAAAAACACCTCTACAGCCAGTTGTGTTCCTTAAGGACTTCAGTTAAACAACTCTGTCAAACCATTATTTGCAGTTCTAGGGTATGCTGCAGCTGCTGAAAGGGCTTCGGCTTTTCTTGGTCCTTTGTTTGTTTGGCCTAAGGTTGATGACGTCACCTCCGTTAAGCAAGTTGGAATTCTGTCCAGAATGACTTCCACCTGCCGTATTGAAAACACCTGTATAAAATTAAAGCACAAAAGAGAGTTGTACGTATGGCAACTGGCAATCTTTTAACTGTATCAGATCTGTAACTGTACAATTAAAGCAGAGCTGAAAGCCTCAATAAGCCTATTTTAAAAATCAAAGTAAGAAATGCTTTATGGCGAGACTATATACGCAAGTTCAATATATCTGTAGAAGAGACAGTTCATAACACTATTTTTATCAGGTGCCTATCAAAGAAATAGCAAGCTGCTTTTAACCTCTTCATCAGTATTTTTGCCATTAGTTAGTGGAAATTACATCATTCTAAAATTCTGATAATATCAATGGAAAGTGAACTAAACCGAACTGAAAATTCGTTAGCTTTAATTTATAAGTTATTAGATGGTTTTGATACTGTGGCCAAAAACTAGTTTTACAAAAGTAAAATAGCTGTCTGCTTGCAGCACGCAACTGTATACATACCAATTCTGTTACTGCTTGTGTGTACAACTTCTGGATCTTCCATTATTCGTTGCTTAAGTTTTTGAAGGTACTTCTCAGCCAAATATCTAAAAACTGTAGCATACAAAAATCAAGGCCTTTGGAAAATATGTATTTTTTATTAGTAAAGCCTACAGTTTCCTTATAAACTGAAAGTTATTTAATATGTTAAAAGTGGCAACAACAGTCTTCCTTATATAGGCTAGTAATGAATAAACACACACACACATACACAGGTTGTTAAACGCACACAAGCTGTTAAGTTCAAGACAGAAAAATCTCTGATGAATACTGTTAGTAATTATATTGTTCACAGAATATTAATTATACAGCGCAAAACCTGCATTTTGAATAGAACTTTGTTTCATTCATTATAATTATCTTATTTCCAGGTTGCAAACTTCAGTTCTCCAAATATTTTGGAGCAATCATTCTCAGCCCCTGCCAGTCTTATCCAGTCGAGAAAAACTGAAAATAGCTCCCCAGGAATTAAGCTTTTTCTAGCTTTTTCTTCAGCTTTGGAGTTTAAATTCAGCTTGTCATAAACAAATTGTTCATCTGTAATCTCAAAATTTTTTATCTATGAAAGTACAAAGTTGATGATTCAAGGACATTTTGTTCCCTCTCTAAAACATACCATTCCGGGAGCAACTGGGTAGTTTCTGAAAGCAAATTACATGATTTGGAGGTGGTTTCCAGGTCAAGAATTTGGAACTGCCAATCCACCCCCAGAAGGGCATTCTTTAATAGAAAGTAGAATATTTTACATTTTCAAATAACAGAATTTTTCATTTTGTTCTGTGGCTAAGAGCAAGTTTGGTGTAGTAGTTAAAGCACCAGGCTAGAAACCAGAGACTGTGAGTTCTAGTCCCGCATTAGGCCCAAAGCCAGCAGCTGACTTTGGGCCAGTCACCTTCGCTCAGTTCCATGAAGAAGGCAATGGCAAATCACTTCCAAAAATGCTGCCAAGAAAACTGAAGGGACTTGTCCAGGTACTTGCCAGAAGTCAAGACTGACTTGAAGGCACCCAAATACACAAACTTTTGTACCTACACAAAGTATACAGTCAAGGAACATATAAAACTTGAATTGGATTATAAACACAAATCCTACCCTCCATATGCAATTGCACAGACACCATAAAGAGTACCAGATGAAATCTAGTTGTCATAGAACTATATATTTTTTATTTTTTCAACCAAATTTTGAGCCAGTCATTTTCTTAGCCCAACCTACCTCACAGGGTTGTTGTGGGAAAAATAGAACATAGGAGTATTAGGTATGTTCACAGCTTTGAGCTGATTGACATACATAAATACATATATAAATAAGTGGGATAAAAATATAATAATGATAACAACAACAACAACAACAACAACAATGCCTATCCAGAGTCCTTGAGAAGTAAGCAACAGGTGGATGAAAAAAATCATACACAGTCTAAACATCTGGCTGATCTGCAATTAACAAATAATAATAATGTATCTCAAGGTTGTAGCACTTCAGACTATCAACAAAAACTAAACTACCTCAAAGTTTGTCCATTTAAAAGAGGTTCTCTGAACTTAGAAAATCGGATTCTAGAGGCAAGTATTGAAAGAGACTTGTTGCTTCAATGAGAACCTGGAAATATGCTACTGTAGCGCTTGAAAAAAAAAAACTTAACCTAACCAAAACATTAAAAAGTCTATCTTACCTTCTGTTACATTTAAGTCTTCCTTTACAGATGCCCGGTAAAATCTTAATTTTAGTTTTTTTGCAAGTGCCTCTGCTTCTTCACTGTTTATTGGAAAGGAAAGCCTTGTTTTAGACATCAATTATTTTTCAGTAAAATAGAATGCATTAATGCAAACTGAACTGAGTTGATAATCTTCATTAGAGTAGATTTAAAAGGGCAGTTAAAAGATTCTTTTAGTAAAAAGATGAGAGAAAATATTAACATTGATTTAAAATGTTGCCTGCTGAAAGTTATAAAGAAAAAAACCCACAGTATTTGCTGTAAATATTAGTTTTTCATAATTTTAAATTGGTGAACCGATCAAAACTTGCTCATTGGGCAGTGAAAGTATGTGGTAAATAAATAAATATGAACTACATAAAAATAAAGCATCCATTGATATTGAAATATATATCAATTCCTGACTACACCAATGAATGAGTGTTGATAAAAAAAACCGATTCTGCACTTGTGAGAAAACACAAGGACTTAAGAAAAATTGGACTTACAATAAAGTCATATATCTTGCTTTTGCAAAAAGCAAGTCCTACGATATCCTCCTATTGCACTGTTCTTAAAATACTGCATTTGAAACTAAATTCTTTGATTTTTGCAACATTAGACCCAAACTATTTCCTGGAGTGCCAGATCCACGCTCAAGAAATGCCAATCAGTTTTGTTCATATCATGAAAAATCAATAGTGCAGAAAAGTGCAGGGAGGACTTTTGTGAGTTCATATGATTTGATGCAGGATGCCTTTTGATGTCTTTCCTTTGTATTCTTTCATTAAGACCTCCATAGTGTTTACTTTTGGTTCTTGCAGTCTTTCTTGGCAAGAATTATATTTACAAGTAGATCACCTGTTTTGCTTGGCTGTTAACTTACGGTAACTTGACTTTTTAAATGTTTTGGAAAGGGTGGGGAGAGTTGCTACTGAATAGCATACAGATTAAGAATTGTCTACCTGCATATATAGGTATTCTGTAATAATGGCTTAACATGTACAGTATGTACATGTCTCTAACCTTAAAGATTCTAATTATCATATTTTTCAGAGTATAAAACACTCTGGAGTATAAGACGCACCTTATTTTGGGGAAGAAAATCAGGAAAAAAAAATCTGCTTGAGAGGCTCTCCCGTTTGAGAGGCTGCATTTGCAGCCTCCAAAAGCTCCAAAAGGGTGGGGGCCAGAGCTACATTCAGTGTATAAGGCACATCCAAATTTTCACCCTCTTTTAGGGGGGGGGAACGTGTGTCTTATACTCTGAAAAATACGGTACCTCCATTTAGAGTTGACAAAAAGGTCTAAGAAAAGGGTCAAAAATATGGCTGGCCTTCTCTCCCTCAGGTTGGCTGCTCTACGTTTTGTCTGGTAGAATGGGGTTTTCTTCTGTTTCTCTTTGGGCTCTGCAGTAGGTAGTTTTGTTCCACAGTGGTCCTCAGACCCTCTCCATGTTGGGTCCTTGCTGGGTCCTCAGATCCTTTCACTCACAAATCTTACCTAGGCAATCCCTTCTTGAATCAGCAACTCTTCCACAGTGCATTTTTCTCCAGTCCATCTGAGGTAAATCAGCCAATGCTACTCTTTAGAAGAACAATCACCCTTCAATAACTCAAACTTTATCTACATCATCACCCACCAACCTGCATACCTCCTCCAGTTTTCTTCCACTCAAATATGATTCCCTTCCTAGAAGCTTGTTTTTTTAAAAAAGTCTCTACTTTCTTTGCCTATCAGCTGCCCCACTTTTGATCCTATAGAAAAATCTTCCTATGGGAATCTGAGTTATCTCTTACTCTCAGGTTCTACTGTACGTAGCAATTAAAATAAAGCAAGGTGTTCATTTAGATGCTTGTAGGGATAGATCAGACTCACCATGAAGCATGGGCTACAAGGGGCTACATTCGGAGTATAAGATGCACCCAGATTTTCACCCTCTTTTTTGGGGAGAAAAGGTGTGTCTTATACTCCGAAAAATACGGTATATGTCTCTTAATATGAACTTTTATCTTTACCCAGATTTATTTTAAAACATTATTTGCAGCATAGCAATAAAACACGCCTGTTATCTAGTATGTAGTTTGTTCATACAAGTATCAAGGTGAATGTCTTTTAAAATTTATCAAGTATGCTTAAAAGATTTGTTTATTAGAATTTAATGAAAGCACCTACTTTTTTATATAAGAATAATCCAGGAGGTCAATCTTATTCTGAACAAGAACTGTGGGAATTTCTCCGACTTCAGATACAACTTTCTCTCTCCAGGTAGGAATTGCTTCAAAAGATTCCCTATCAACGGTTGAAAACACAAGCACACAAGCCTGGGCTCCTAAAACAATAATAAGAGAAAGAAATTTAATGCTCAGTGAAAGTTTCCCAAAAAATGGATAAATAATAAATAACCAGATAAATATGCTGGATAAATGCATTGATTTATGGAACTGATAAGGCATTATGATTCAAAAAAGTGTCCAGTGATCAGTATACAACAGAAAAATAACCAAAAGAACAACATAACCTTAAAACGTAACATATACTGGTAAATTTGAAATACAAAATATCAATTAAACACAATAACAACATTAACCAAGAGGGGGCTCCCCTCAACTGGACCTGAGTGCCTGGGGGATGCCTTGGAAAAAAGCCAGGTCTTTCTAAAGCCTAGCAGAGTTGGGGGCTGTCATATCTTGTTGAGTGGAGGGAAATCTTTCAAGAATACAAGGGCAGCCTCTGAAAAGGCACGCTTCCTAAATCCCTTGGGATGGCAAAGATTAAAGAGAGAACCTGGAGCAGGCCCACTCTATGGGAGTGTGTGAGGTGGGCAAATTATTATACAATTTAAGACACATTTATATAAGGTTGACTGCTCCCCCTTCTTTTGCAAATCCTCTGTGACTACAGCTGCAGTGTAGTTGCTGACTATCTTGAGGCAGTAAATCCACAAATGTAAAATAGCCATAACAAAATAACTCATAGTTAAGTAAAAAAGAAAGAAATGGAAAAGGAAAACTGGTGTCCCCAAAAAATGGGGGAAGGTATGGAAATCATGTGACATGTCCCAATTTTGTTTCTATTAGTATCCCAATCATTGTGGCCAATAAATTTAATTGCTTTGAATGGGACCTCCAGCCACTAAAAGTTTGCTCTTACTTATTAAGCAATAAAAAGAGCATTTTAAAAATTAGTTTTACAAATAGACGAACTAATAAATAGAGAAAGGCCACTCGCCTTATAAAACTCCCTGTGCTGAGGGAGATGAGTCTACAAACATGAAATATAAATCAATCAATCAATCAATCAATCAATCAATCCTGGTTCTTAGGATCAATCCTTAATTTGTTTATACTACCACTTCCATGTAAGGAACCCCTTCTAGGAGATAGATACTTCAAGATGAACAATAAAACCTTAGTGCTTAGTATTATATGAGTTGGCCCTCCATTACATTTGATCCAGCTGGCCAACAGAATGAAAGGTAACCTGATATTCTGAAGGATTCTAATTGTATTCTGAGCAGCTTCTCTTGTACTGTGATCAGTAAGAAACCTGTGTACCTAATATCGCCCAATTTCCTACACCTTAATTCAGACTCTTTGCAGAGTTAGAATCCTTTCTGCAAAATCACACTTGAAGGGTATGCTAATATATTCCTGATCTCTAATTTAGTTGGAAGGGCAATTATTAAAATAGCTTTGAATTGACTTTGTAAAATAAAGCTTAATTTGATTAAGGAATTCTATTTTAAAAGCATAAGAATTTATTTAAATCTGAGAAGAAAGACATAACAGTAATGGAAACGTTTAATGTCTATAAAAAGGTAGCTAGGTTATGTATTACACAAGGATAGGCCATCTGTGGCATTCCAGACATTGCTGATTCCCAGTAACCCCAGGATACATGGCCAGTAGTAAGAAATGCTCCTTTACATGTAAAGAGTATCAAATTACATTTCTGAGTCTTCGGATTATTTAGCAGTTCATAATCATCCTACATTTCAGAGGGAAAAGTTCAAACTGATTTTCATCAAAATAATGATTTGAAAAATTGAGATAAATCTATATTAACTAATAATTATTAGATAATAATTTACCAGTGCAATCCTACATATAATCACTCAGAAGTAAGTTCCGTTATATCTCTCAGTTAAGTAGATGTAAGACTGTATCCTAAATCTATTTTCAAGAGGTAACAAAAAAACCTAACTTTCAATATCCCTAAAACGGAATCACTATACTGTTTATGAATCACTGCTCAGAGTCCCTATGCAAGGGAGATGAGTAGTTTCTAAATTTGATAAATGAATAAATAAAATTATATTTGGACTGTGGCAAGATTCGGAACCAATATCAAACATATAATTTTGGTAGCCACATGTGAGACTGACACTAGATATTGAAGAAAAGCGAAAGATTTGTATGAGTGACTCAAGGAGGGTTGCAATGAAGGTGGTAAATAAGTTAAAGCTACTGGAATCTGGTACAAGCTTGCTGTGGGAAATACAGAAATAACTTGAGGACTAGGAATATAGGTGCCAGGACCTGAAATTAGCCAGAGGCAGAACAGAAGAGGATGAAGGGATGGGATGGGATGGGATGGGATGGGATGAAGAGATTTTTATCAGAAAGCAGAGAGCCTATGAGGAAATTTCAATAGAGTTGTGAAAAAAATGAATCTCGGTTTAGAAAAGTATATAAGGAGTTGTGAGGGCAAGCACAGACATGCAGACTTAGCTTGATGTAAACAAGGTCTAACCAATAGAGAGGAAACGTGAAAAAAATGTTTAGGACAAAGAAAAGAACGTGGGAAGCAACCTGAAGAAATAAAAAAGAGGCAGAGATTTAAAAGGAGACAAAAAGGCTAGTAAAGTTCATAATCATCCTATATTTCAGAGGAAAAAGTTCATACTGCTTCAAAAACATTTCAAAATGTTACTTGTGAATCAAGCATGTTACTTGAGACGTAGAGAAGCTGAACCATCTCATTCCTAGTGAGTTCAATAGTTACTGTCATGCAAAGTTATTCTTGACTGTATGTAGATATATATGGTTACTCTTTCATGCAAATGGCAAAACACAGTTTTGGCCAGTTTTTGGCTCTGAACTCAGGAAAGGAAAAGTGTTTTTTGTCTATTTATTACTAGAAGAGACTTGGGATTTGCTGGATTTAGTGGATGGAAGAAATGTCCCTCAGACTAGAGCCTCCTGCTGGTGGAAGAGTCATTCAGGTCTCTGGTTAAAGAACTAGAAATGAAATTGCTGGGGCTTGTTATGATTATTACCATGTTTTCTTGAAAATAAGACCCTGTCTTATATTTTTTTGAACCCTGAAATAAGTGCTTGGCCTTATTGCCATGCGCTCAAAAGCCCAATTGGGCTTATTATCAGGGGATGTCTTATTTTGGGGAAAACAGGGTATTATTTAAAAATCATGTTACTAGGATTTAAATTTACCACAAACCAGAGTCTTTACATTAACAGGGTTTTATTCTTACCTCTATAATAAGCTTTAGTAATTGCATCAAATTCTTCTTGACCTGCTGTATCCCATAGCATTAACCGGACATCTTCATCATTGACTCTAAAAATATAATATATTCTTATCAATAAGCATATTAAAAAGAACAAGGAACTTGTAACCTAAAAAAAGTACTTAGCAAAATGGCTTTCAGTAATCCCATTGTTTTTCAAGCAGACTTAAATTTCCACTGATATGGACTCATGCATGCAAGAGTATCTCATTTTTCCAATTCTTTTAGCTACAGACATACTGTTTCTGAAGGGTATGACACAAAAGATTGCATTAATTGAGAAACAACTGGCAAAGAATTAGGAGGACTAAATATACTACGGTAGTAGGAGTGGGTTTGGAGGCAAATTACTTGGAACCTAACTCCAAAACTGAAACTTGTTTAACTGTATCTAAGTAGACCATGTCCTTTTCTTTCTCTCTGCTTTGAGAGAAAATAAAACTACGCTGTGAACTGAAATAAATTAGACATTTAAAAAAAAAATTCCATTTATTTATATTGGACTCTTCATGTTCTATACAAATCACTGTCATTCAGTGTTATAAATGTTTATAACTCTGTCACATTTATAATATTGCAACTCCATCTTGCCACTACTGGTAAAATAGCTTTTTTTCCTTCTAACAGACTATAAGCAATGTTGGATTTATTATTCAGATTAGTAATTCTGGAACTTCTGCAGACAGACTGCAAAATACAGTTAATATAGATGCCTCATGTTCTCATTTATGCAAAAGGCTTTTTCCAAAAAGCACTTATAAATATACCGAATTCAATTCTAAAATTGAGTAAATAATAATGCTCCCATCTGCTAGATACGTACTGCATTTCTCTTTCCAAGAAATCAACTCCAATTGTTTTTTTATAGTCTTTTGTAAAAATTCCTTTGCAATATCTCTGGATCATACTAGATTTCCCAACAGCTCCATTTCCAACCACAACCACCTTGATGGCCACCTCCAAATCTTCTTCCAGCATTTTGCCCAGTCAGAAAGTTGTAATTTGTTTCTCAATCTAGTATAGATCTCTGAATTCTCTACCTGAAAAAAAGGGAAGAGAATAATAATAGTTTCTTTCATTACAAAAGTAAAAATACACATTTTGACTTCTAATTCTCTCATGGGTTTACAATAAGTCTGTGGAGCTTCAATATTAAACTGAAACATCTAAACCAATTAAATTATCTCTGTGAGGGATGGGGAATAAATCATGAGGATAAAAACAGTTACCAGATCACGTTCATGCCACGGTTCGAATGAAAGGAGCAACCCAAAGAAACAGTTGTGTATATATATTTATTATAAGCTCAGTTGAAGCCAATGGGCATTGCTATTGAATAAACAAGGATTATATTGCATGCTAATGCTTCACTGTCTTCTCTTGTCTGTTCTATTAATCTTATGCCCGATATAACTATTACTTTGTCCATGTTAACCGCTATATCTGTAATAATTATGTATAATTTTGCCATGGTTCTAAATTAAGAAAATCCAAAGAATTTGCTACCAACGTTCACATATACATACCAGGGGTGAAATCCAGCAGGTTCTGACAGGTTCTGGAGAACCGGTAGTGGAAATTTTGAGTAGTTTAGAGAACTGGCAAATGCCACCTCTGGCTGGCCCCAGAGTAGGGTGGAAATGGAGATTTTGCAATATCCTTCCCCCAGGAGTGGGGAGGGAATGGGGATTTTGCAGTATCCTTCCCCTGCCACCCCCCCATGCCCACAGAACTGGTAGTAAAAAAAATTGGATTTCACCACTGATACATACCACCTTTGCATTCTACACTTTGTATCACATTACAACACATTTCTATGTGTATGGATCCACACTTTAACTTTAGTGGGACTTTCTCCCCCAGGATCTTCATATATAGAATGTATTGCACAACAGTGTTAATGTAGCATATACATTCGTCTCAATACTTTGCTATTAGCATACATTATGCAATAACTTAGACAAACTTAGATAAATCACAGAGAAACAAAAATAGTATTAATTTAAAATTATTAGATGATGCTCACAAATACATGTCACCATCTTACAAGAAATTAATTTATTTTTATATTACTAAATGTGTACAGCAAGTGTTTTGTAAACCAGCCTAGCTTTAAAGTGTTCTTTTAAAATAAAAGTTGCAGGATTAGTTCTGGTAAAATAGACAGAATGCTTTGTGTGTCTCTGTGTGTGTGTGTGTCTGTATGTGTATGTAGATACACACACATACACTCATATATATTTTAGGGGCAAGATTTACGGTTTCTAAGTATGGACTGGGGATACAATGGCAGAATATGAAGCAGGCATATGCAGATATGAAAGAGTCAAAGAGCACTGATGTTGTTCCCTAATTTGGTAATGAAATGTTTGCAAGAAAACAACCAAGCTCAGAGAGCACCAAGGTTGCCACAGAGTCAAAACTGTCTGTATTTTCCTGAATTGAGGAAAGAGAGATATATCAACAGTCTATACTGAGTATCCGAAATTGACTATTGGCAATGAGGAGGAGCATATACCGGATATGCCGTACTGATATGCTGAAATAAACAGGACCAATTTTAACAGGCATAAGGGCACAATAACTCACTACTGTCAGCATCAAAATGACCTTCCCACCATCACAATTCCAATATAAATGGTAACAACAAAAATTTAAATTGCAAGAAACTTTGTTTTGGACAGCCTTACAACAAGCATTATTACATAAATGTTGGCTCCTCCACCTTATGGATAGGTAGATCTATCAATCTATGTATGTGTTTTCTTCTATACTGTGTAACAGTACTGCAGAAAAAAATGAGTTAAAGAACTGAAGCAAAATAAAATTTTAATGGACTCAGCAAGACTCCATAAATTTAAAACGACGGTTACAATTATAGGTAGTCCTGGATTTAACGACCACAACTGAGTCCAAAATTTCTGTTGCTAAGGCAGTTAGGTGAGTTGCATCTCATTTTATGACTTTTTGTCACAGTTATTAAGTGAATCATGGAGTTATTAAGTGGATCTGGCTCCCCCATTGCCTTTGTTCGTCAGAAGTCAGCTAGGAGTTTGCAAATAATGATCACATGAGCCCAGGGCACTCCAACTGTAACTGTCATAAGTACATGCCAGTTGCCAGGTGCTCTAATTCTGATCATGTGACCATGGGGAAACTGCAAGGGTCATAAGTGTAAGTACCGGTCATGAGTCACTTTTTTCACTGCCATTATAATTTCGGACAATCACTAAACAAATGGCTGTAAGTCAAGGACTACCCGTATCATTTTGATAAGTGTTTTGCATTTCATGCTTACATTTTACAAATGAGCACAGTGCCTGCCAAAGTTTAAACATTTTCCAGGCACTCCCAAGTTCTATAATAGTGGTTTTTTTTTTCTTAAAATACATCTAGGATTACTTCAGATGTCTGTCCACACTAACTGCCTTCTCTCTATGGATTTATCCTCATTCTGTTCGTTATGATTTGTAGCCTTTTTTCCTTCCCTGCCCTTTGCAGCATTCTTCACCTTTAATCCCATGAATCAAGTGTGCGCTTCTGTATCATTGCAGCAACTGGAAAATAGCTCCTTCTCATATAACCCATTTTTTCTGTTCTGGAAAAGATTCTTTTATGCTACAGTATTTCTTCCTCCTACTCATTAAGAAAGCCGTATTAAGGGTTTGACTTAGTAAATCTTGCTCATAAATCTTCAACAGCATTTCCCCTTTATATTTACTGAGTAGGTGATAGGGTTCCCAGGTCTGCTTCCAAAAAATAGCAGACAAGCGGGAGGGGGGGTTTGTAAGAAAATATATAATTTAATTGTAAAAAAATTTTAAATTTTTTTACAATTAAATTATATATTTTCTTACAAACATTTTAACACGTATTAAAATAATCACTTCAAAACTTTACTTAAAATTCAAAACATCAAATATATTATAATAATATGTAAAATGTTAAATTACATTTTAATTTCATCATAAAGCTTTTGAATAAAAAAAATGTCCATTATTTTGTGAAAAAAAATAGTGAACATAATGTGAAAAAAATGGACTGTCCGCTCAAATAGTGGACACCTGGCAACATTAGTAGGTGAATCCAACCAAAATGTTTTTAACCTCTTCCATATAGAAAGTTTTCCATTATACCAAAAATTTCAAAGATTGGTATATGGATGGTCCTTGCTTACTGACCAATCATTCAGCTACAGCACTTGAACTAGTGATAGTTACAACTGTCCTTCAAGTTCTGACCATAGCAGCATCCCACAATCATGTGTTTGTGATTTGCAGCCTTCCCTGCTGGCCTCCAACAAGCAAAGTCAATGGGGAAACTGGCAAGAATTCAGAAGTTGCAATTACATGAGCAATTACAACCTATGCACTCCACACTTAATAACGGTAACTGAGGACTGCTGTTGCAAAATATTTCAAGGTTCAGCAGATTTCCAAAGAGTCTTTATAAGTTTTATTTGCACTGAATTAGTACCTGAGAAACACTGGGCCACTTAGTTCTATCTTGGTAACCGTGTAGTAGAATACATGGCGTACAATATAAATGGCTAGACCATGACATCCTCCTCCAAGAAATACCTTTCTTGTAGCAATGATTACATAACACTTGTGGTACAGAACTATAGAAAAAAAGCAATTATTTCACCACTTGCAATCACAGAAAATAAATGGTGAACCATTCTGTACATTTCAGTTTGCCTCTAAATGTCCACATAAACTCTTACATGCTACTATGTGTGTAGTAAATCATACCTCTCGAGATAAGAGAAAACAATCCCTATCACAACAAAGATATACATGCCTGTCATCATATGGGCAACCTTTCCCAGCAGATGTCTTGAACTAACAGTCCCCATAACCCCAAATCCAGCACATTTGAAAGCCACAAAACAGGAAAAGGTTCAGCTCCTTTACTATAAAAATTGTAAACTTACACATCTACTAAATGATTCCCCACCCCCACCCGCAAATCAAGCATTCCCTCCCCAAAATTTCAGCAATGCAGAAAATCAAAATTAATTAAAAACACAGCACGGGAATATTGGTGAACCACCAGAAAGAAGATCACGAAAAGTAGACAGAAGAAGAAGAAGAATAAACAAGCCCAGCCCCCAGTCTCAGAATCTGGGCGTGGGATTTTGGACCAGTCTCAGCCCAGAGTTTTCTTCTTCTGTGGGGGAAAAGGAAAGGAGTTCCCTCTGGGTATCCCCCGTCGGAAAGGGCGGGATGCAAATCTAAGAAACGCAGCAACTAATGTCCGCAGCCTCTCTATGCTAAATGTAACGATCTCCAAATAGGAGTTCGTAGATCGGGCAAGCCAGAGGAACTCCTCTGTTAGGGATCAAAGCCAGAGAGAAATCTTGCTGCTGTGATCGCGCAAAAGGGAGCGCGGGCGTGGAGAAGTCCGGGGGAACCCAGTTCCCAACCAGAGATTCCACAACCCAATCCGAGGGGCGCAGCATCTTCGCCGCCTCCACCCTAACACCACACAGAAACCCTTATGTGTTTGTGTGTGTGTGTGTGTGTGTGTTGTGTGTGCAGCACCACGTAGCCCAGCTCGTCCGCCCAGGCCGATCCCTGCACGTCCTGCCATCCCCCAGCCCGAGGATCCTCCCCGCGCGCCCGATCCCAGACGCAGCGCCCACGAACCCGGGGCGGTCTCCGGCCGGCTCCCCACGAAATCGGCGCGCGGAGAAAGAATGAGCGTCCCCCCCCCCCCACAGGGTTAGGAGAAGCCCGCCGGTCCCGCCAGCCCAACCCGGACGCGCATCGCCCGCTCTTCCCGCGGGACACTCACACGGCCGGAAACGCCGTCAGGGCCGCGGCGGGACTCGCTCGGGAAAGCGCCCTTCTCCGCCGCGTCTGTTTTCCCGAATGGGGACAGACGCTTCTCCAGCCAGCCTCGCCTGCCGCCCTCCGCCTCCGCCGCCTCGCCTCAGCGGGGGCGGGACCAGCCTCCCTGGCCGGGTTAGAAGTCTGGGGGAGGAGGAGGAGGAGGAGGAGAAGGTGGAGGGAGGAAGAGCTTCCCGCTTTGGAAGGCCCGCAGGATCTCGCCGGCTTTGCCTTCCTTGCGGTGGCACGAAGCGGCTGAACCTCCCGAAGGTAAAAGCAAAGGGAGCCCTTGAGATGCCTTGTCGGTCCTCGATGTAAACTCCGAGCTACCTTCCGAAAGCGCTTGGCGGGGAGTGAAGTTCCCTGATTTTGGTAGACTTGCGAGTTGACGAGCTCAGAAGCCCCGAGTAGTTTAGCAAACAAAAATGATGGTCATTTTAGGCTGCGGAACCTCTCTGGATACTTAATGGCTTGAAGCTACTTGTGATGTTAATCAAGGGAATCTCCTCATACAGCAAATATGGTTGGCTTCATGTGTGTGTGTGTGTAATACACATGCATACATATGTATGTATATGCATATACACATGTATATGCATATATACTTTTCCCATGTAACTTACATGGGAAAAGACCCGAATACACCAAAACTTGCATACACATGTATATGTATATACATACAGATACATATTTATATAGATGTATGTATATGTGTGTGTATATATCTTGATGTATATACACCTAGTCCTTGACTTACAGCCACAATTGAGCCCAAATTTTTTCTTGCTAAGCGAGACCGTTGTTAAGTGAGTTTGGTCCCATCTTACAACTTTTCTTGCCACAGTTGTTAAGTGAGTTGCTGCAGTTAAGGTAGTAATACGGTTGTAAAGTGAATCTGGCTTCCATATTACTTGTCAGAAGGTCGCAAAAGGGGATCGATCACATGACTCTGCAACCGTCATAAATATTAGTCAGTTGCTAAGCATCTGAATTTTGATCATGTGACCATGGGGATGATTCAGAGGTCATAAGTGTGAAAAATGGTCATAGATAACTTTTTTCAGTGCTGTTGTAACTTCAGTCATTAAATGAACTGTTGTAAGTCAAGGACTACCTGTATGTTTATGTGTATATATGTATATATACATATATACATATACAGTAGTGGCCAAAATTGTGGAAACCTTTTGGGCAAAGTGTATTTTTGAGGTTTGATAACCACTTTTTTTTTGGAGTTTTAAGATAATAATATTCCATCGCTGGAATGGCCTGGGAATAGACCTTAACCCAATTGAAAATCTATGGAGCCAACTAAAGAAACTTGTTAGTCAGAAGCAACCCAGCAATAAAACCCAGTTAATAGAAGCAATCATTCAATCTTGGTTTCACATTATAACAGCTGCAGAACTAAAAGACATGGTTCACTCCATGAGAAGATGTTGCAAGGCCGTAATTCATGCTAAAGGTTACCCAATTAAGTATCGACTGACGTGATCATTTTTGTATATCTCATTTTTTTCTGTGTTTCACTTTTCTTCTTTATACTGTAACTGCTATTCTAATAGCAAATCCTTCATAAAAGTTACTGCATTACATTCTTGATTAAATTATCTTTCCATTGATATATAATTTTATGGTACTACTCCCCCCCCCAAAAAAAGTGGTGTTATTAGCTAGTTTTAGAAAATACACTTTTCCCAAAAGGTTTCCACAATTTTAGCCAGTACTGTAGTATTTGCTATTTAGGTATACATATATGCATACATATCACTATATATATACATATCACTATATACACATATGTAGCCATGATAGAAATAAATCAGAATGAATATACATATATCCTCATAAGATAGGAATGTATCATAAATAAATGAATACTCCCCTGTATCAGAGGAAACTTTTGGTATAGCTTCAGACTGTAGTTTATCTAAACAATTCAGCTGAAAAATAATTTGGAAACCACAAAAAACACATGTGAGGCAGCACTCCGTACTTCATCCTTGAATTGGTTTCCTCAGCAATGACCTTGGGAAATTGGAAAGCAAAACTAAAGATAATTTTGTTTTTCCTTTGCCTGTCTCCAACAAGATCTGTCTGACTAGTTAGGCGCCACTCTGGTTTTCTTCTATTAGATAATGCTATTCTCAGGACTCTCAAAAAGTCCACTCTCTGGAGCAACCCTTAGTATCCCCTAAGATCCGGATGCCTCCCACCCACCACCATTGGTTCAGAAGAGCCTCTTCACCCAGGCCTTTGGTGAGGGAGAGCCCTCCCTTCATCCTATTTGCCATCTTTTTTTCTTTTATTATTTCATTTTTAGTTTCTTTGTTTAATTGTTGTGAACTGCCCAAAGTCATTGGGAGTTTGGTGGCATACAGGTAATCCTCAATTTACAACCAGTCATTTAACTACTGAACTTATTACCGGCCTGCAAAAGCTACTTCCAGTTCCAAAGTTATGGTGCCTGCCCCATACACACATACAGACACACCAGTTACATGGCTGCATTTTGGATACTCTCCAACCAGTCTGCATTTGCAGCTGTTTGCAGCACCTATGGTTGCGTGACTGCAATCGGTAACAATTTTTTTCCAGAAATCAGCATATGCTTTTAGTTCCCGAAAAAATATGCCCTATAGGGGACATTGGTTTCATATCATGATCACAATTTATGAGCATAATTGCCAGGCTCAATTATGGTCATAAGTTGAGGACTACCTATACAAATTTAATAAATTATCATTAACATCATAATCTTCAGCCAATTTTTCTATGTTACTAGATACAGATTGTTCAAAAAGAAAAAAAAGCTCACAAGTGTTGCTTTAATTAGCTTGAATCTCCAGTTGCTTAAGAGGACGTGACAAATAACAGAAAGGAACATATATCAGGCTATTCAATTGTTGGTCATCATGAATTCAGGAGGAATTTGCTTTCAATATGATAAAGCCTAAACACAATTTTCTATATGATTTTATACACACGTACTTGAGATATCCCACTGAAACTGAACTGGGAGTTTAAATAAACATGCAAGAGAATCACTAAAACCAAGATGATAACAGCAGATTAATCCCAAACAAAACATCAGACAACATGCTTAGTTTCTTATATTTATAATTGCAGTAGTTGGAAATCATTTCATCTCAGTTTAAACATCATAATGGTTTGTTTAATCACAACCAAAGGAAGGCTCAAGCACACAGCAGATCGGTACAATACTGTATTATCTTACTTTTGGATGGATCCATTTCATTTTCTCATTGTTAGATTTTACAGCACCTAAGTTTAATGCCACACAGATTAATGACAACTCTATAAAACATTTATTCTACATATTTGTAGGAATTTAGATGATTCTTAGATTGGAATGGGTAATAATTAGGTACTTCTAATGTGTGTGTGTGTATATGTGTGTGGGGGCAGTTATGCTCCTTGGTTTGTTCCAATTCTATGTAGTGCCTGAATATTCATAAAGAATTCAAATAGTAAAATATATCTCATGTTCTTTATCCCAAGGTCTCCAGAACTCATGATTAAAAAGAAACTATTTTCTTTCCCTATAACTTTACCCTGTTGTATCCTTAGATGGCTGGAAGTGAGGAAAAGCCCATTGTTTGTTGAAACTGAAAGAAGAAAGTACAGAGGGTGATTTGCTATTTAAATAAATTTTTAAAAACCATAATATAATGTCAATAGACAATACCAACTCAGTGTAAATAATTTGAAAAGAAGTAACAGCTTTTTATCTACTTTGACTCAAACATTCACAGAGAAGGTGTTTGTATCCGCAACTTGGGAGGACTGACAGATTTAGCAAAATATTAAAATGCAGCGATATTACATTGACCACATAGGTAGAACTACAAATTTCCCAGCTGCAACAGATAGCAGTGAAAGCTGGACCATTAGAAGGGATGACAGAATTAATGTCTTTAAATTATGTTGAGAGATGCCTTGGCTCACAAAATAACAGTTTGAAGGGACCTTGGAAGCCTAATGAGCTCAAGCAGGAGACCTCCTTTGGGATAGATAAAATTAGATAAAACAAGGTCAGGCAGATCCCCATAAGCACTAAATTTTTTGATATTTTGGACACACAGCGCCTAGACAAGCCTCGCTGGAGACATCCTTGATGCCTGGAAGAAAAAAAGGCAACCAAGAAAAGGTCAACAAAACTGGGTTCATACAACCCACAATAACATGTAACAGTTTACACTGACTCAAGGAAACAATTAATGAATTGTTGTAAAATCCTGGTGAAATGGTGTGCGGGCAACACTGGCCTCCATCTACTTTTGTAACAGTAGTTGCAAGTAAGAGAATTATCTGAACCACAACAAACACATATCAAACCAGTAGAGCAGTGTGCCTTCATGGGTTGTGGGTGCTCCATCACTGGAGGCTTTTAAAAAAGACTGAACATCCATTTGTTTGAAATGGCATAGGGTCTCCTGCATGAGCAGAGGGTTGGACTAGAAGACCTCCAGGGTTCCTTTCAACTGCTGAGGCCAAGAAAGACCAAGAAAGACCTTGTTATCTATTCCAAAACGTGAACCAAGAGGGACGAAAACTGCAACATCCAAAGCCTCTGATCGCTTTCCACAATTTTCAGAATTATTTGGGAGTGAGTGGGTGGGGATTGTTTCATTTCAACCAGGGGTCCCCAAACTTGGCAGCTTTAAGACTTGTGGACTTCAACTCCCAGAATTCTGTTGAAGCCCGCAAGTCTTACAAGCTGCCAAGTTTCAAGACCTCTGATTTCAACGCATAATTTCCTCCCTTAGTCCTCCGATACCCGCTTTAAAATTAGAAACCGGAAGTGCAGGCTGCGTATGACGCTCACATATTTATCTCTATGGTATTTACAAGCGCCTCAAACTGATGGCTCGAAAACGAGAGACTCCTCTTAAAAACACAGGGAGCCCTCTCCCCCGCCCCCCCGCACTGGAGGCACTTTACTTCCGGCTACATCTCACCTGTCACGCGCAGTTCCTTCGATTTGCAGCCCTTTCCTTCCCCCCCCCCGCACCCCGCCTTCCCGCCCCTTTGAAATGACAGATGTGGAAGAAGGCGAGGGCATTGTCATGGCAACTCCCTAGAAGCAGGCGGAAGAGCCAATCGGATGGACGTTTTAACGGAGGAGAGGAGAT